AAAATGTCAATGATTAGCGCTTTTTAAATTTGTAATTTTTTTTGTAGATTTCCCCTATTTACGGAGAAAGATGGGAATTTTTTCAATTTTTGAGGAAAATATCTTCGACTAGATATGATTTGTGATCTTTTGACGTATCGTTTAAAGAAATCGGTTCGGTAAGAGCTAAGAAAAAATGGTAAAAGACACAAAAATAAAACACATTATAGTAAAACTAATACCTTCTCAGGTGTTATAGCAGGTGACAAAACATGGGTTTATGGATATGATGTCGAAACTAAGGCTCAATCGTCCCAGTGGAGGCATTATGGATCGCCAAGACCGAAAAAGACTCGACAAATGAGATCGAACGTGAAGGTAATGCTCACTGTGTTCTTCGATTTTAATGGCATAGTGCATCATGAATTCTTGCCACAAGGTCAAACGGTCAATAAGGAGTACTATTTACAAGTTTAATGTCGTTTGCGTGAAGCAATCCGAAAAAATGGGCAGATTTGTGGCAAAACAATTCATGGCCTTTGCACCATGATAAAGCACCTGCTCATCTTTCATTGCTTGTTCGTGAATTTTTGGCTAAAACAATACTGTCACGATGTCCCAGTCTCCATATTCGCTAGACATGACTCCACGTTCCTTTTTTCTACTTCCAAAAATAAAGAGAACCTTAAAGGGCCATCGTTTTATACAAGCAAAGATGACATTAATCCGCATTGTGGAATGAGCTGAAGCTTATCCCGAAGATCGAGTTTAAGAAGTGTTTCAAGGATTGGTTAAACGTTGTTACGAATGCATAATATCTATTGGGGACTTTTTTGAAGACAAAAACATTAATGTAGACGAAAAAATAAATATTTTTTTTCAAAAAACGCATACATATAATTTAAATTGTTTGAATAGTTTATTTTAAGTGACAATTTTTAAAATAAAAATTTTATTAATAAATTGGCTAAAGTTGTTTTAATTGTTTAATTTTTAAAATTATTAAAGTAGCTAACCAAGAGGATACAATATTTTTGAGTACTTAATACCTTATTCATTAAAAATGTCCAAAATTTGCAAAAACTGGTTTTGTTAATTTATGATGTTTGGTACTAAGTACATATATTAATAATTAATAATTATATCATATTGTTATTATCTATACATATAAATAAGAGTATACTATATTTCAATATCATTAATTGTTAACAATGAATATTATAATTAAATTTAAATAATTTGTGACATAATATAAATAATTAATTTTTTAAGGGCTTGTCAATGAAGGATTAGACTAAAATAATTATAATTTTTTGTAAAAGGTTTAATAATAAATTTATATAACAAGAGTTCGTCGTCGAAGTGTACGTGTCCCCATATAATGGACCTATGAACAATAAAAACTTAACGTGTACTCTTTTAACAAAAAGCAATTCATGTTGATATTTATAATTAGTATTTGTTAATACCTTTCTGACACTAATCTATAAATAATAAGAATTACATTTTAGGTTTTCTACACAGATATATATATTAGACAGATATAATTAAAAATAATGTTATTGTTAAAACATAATTTTACTAATTATAAGCAATGTAAATATATAGATATTTTAATGTGTATAAAAATACTTTTATATCTTATCTGTAAAAAAGTGGATATAATGAAATGTCTTATAATCTTTGTACCAACCTAAAAATTCAAACTCCCTTATTAAATCTACTACTTGAATTGTAAATAAAATATTTAGGTTATGTAGTAGTTGTCATCAATTTACTTGCTTATGAATGTCTAAACATAATATAATTTGCCTATAGTTGTTGTCTGAAATGATATATTTGTATAAAATATTTTTTTCTTTAAGTATACAATCTTTTCTGTGTAATTTTATAGACGAGTTATAATTTGATTTTGTGACAAATATGCAAATATTTGTAAAAACCCTTACCGGTAAAACTATCACCTTAGAAGTTGAATCATCAGATTCTATTGAAAATGTAAAAGCTAAAATTCAAGATAAAGAAGGTAAATAATAATTTGTATACTAGTTGTAAATATTTAAAATTTTATATATTAAGCCATGTTTGCTAGTTTCTTTAAACTTATTAAATGTTAAGTGAGATTGCAAAATGTATCAAGTGGTAAATTCAATAGTAAATCATGATCTGAATTATAATTATAATTTCATAAATTTAGTAAAAAAAGATTTAGCAAATTAAAAAAAAAAAAAATGTTAACACCGAAACGCAAATGTCATTTATTGGGATGGTAAGTTATTGTCTTACATATCAAGAGAGACTACTAGTCGTGGCAACTTTTAATGGTAGAGAAAGGATCCTTGGAGTTCCAAAATTAAGTTTTAAAACTGGTGAATAAATTGCAACATCTGTCCATCAACTAATTCTTGAATGGAACTTTTCTAAAAAAGTAAATGTGTCTTGTTCTATTTTACAAAAATACGTTGCCATGATGTATATGAAATTATATAACAATCCGTATTTGAATTTTAAATGAAAAATTATACGTCAAGACCCAAAATAACATTATTTACATTATCAACATGGCATAAAATAGATATAACTAAGTTTGGAATTGAAGATGGCAATATAAAAATAATATTAAACAATATAATTACTAATCTAAAAATGCTTTGTAATCGTCAATTTGAAAAGAATTACAGTTGAGATGACTACAGAGAATTTTGTAATGCGAACAATCATTTTTGTTAGGGAAGATTTTTTAGGAAAATAACATTCAAAATTTCAGATGTTAAACATTATGCGTAATGGATGACTAAAGTCTTGTACTCTTTAAAAATTTATTTGATTCACAAATAGATTAAACTCTCTAAAAATGAAATAAAGGATTATGAGATATATGTATATTTTGAATGAGCTAATACATAAAAGCTTGGTTTATAGCACTTTTTGTAATATAAGCACTCTACGAAAATTTTCATTTTTTTAACGATTTTATTATATTTGGGTATAAAAATAGTTAAAAAGATGCTATTGAAAATGTGTGGTAATTTATAGTATTTTATCAAAGAAACCCTAGCATTGGTATTTTTGACAATGATCTTCCGAATGAATTAATTAAAAAATTTTCAACATCTCTAACAGAAAAAAATATTAATAAAAAAGATTAAAAAAATTATCACTTTCACAAGAAGACTCAAAATATATTATTCTAAATGATTTAAATTGTTTAATATTAACTAATACCAACATGTTTTTCAAACTATTTAATATTGAAAAAAAATGTTTAGCTGATGATCCAGAAACATGGTTTACTCATAACTTGTATATAAATTTATAGAAGAATTCAATGATATAATTACAAAATATGAACATTGAACACAATACCTTTTACAAATAATTAAAAATTGTAAATCTAAATATCAAAATTATAATAAATCATTCCTAATCTAATCGGTGTCTTAAATTATTTTAATAAGTTGTATATATAGTAATATTTAAATAGTTAATATGATCTTATATTTTATAAGCATTATTTAATTGAAATGTTATCAATATTTTTTATAAGAAATCAAACAATCTTTGTATTAAAAATAATTTCATTTTGTTTATTTTTTCATATTTTAGCTATAATTTTACTAATTTTGTGTAATAAAATGGCAAATATTAGGAAACTTAAAAATTAATATTACACTTTTTTTTAGGTAGTGACATTTCATTTAAGTTTTATTTAAAATATTTTACCATATCTATAACCGATTGTGAAAAATAAATAAATTTCTAAATATAAAATATCAATTTTGCCAAAATTAAAAAATATTTTGTTTTATTATTTTTTTCAAATTGTAATGAACATATGTAAATGTAATCATAACATTTGTATGCAAAATTTAAATTTTAATAAATCTATGTATTTTAATGCTAAAGGCTTCAATTTTGAAGATAAATACTTAACAATAAACAATTATCCTTTTGTCAATTTTAAGAATTTTACAGACACATAAAAAATATAAGTTAAAGGGAACTATTGTAATAAAGTTATAATCATCAAGTTTTAACCAAAGTACTTTCTTATAATATTGAACAAAGTGGTGGATGGGAAAAGATATCAGTAACCTAAAAGTTGAAAAAAAAACCACCCATTATAATTATTAATTATACAATATACTTATAAAAAATTAAAACATTGCTCTGGATACTTGAGCAAACAAAAAGAAATTATATTCTTACAAAAACATGTTTAAAATAGCCAAGTTCTAGGATCCCCTAAAAAAAAATTTGCTTATTAAAGTAGTAATATTTACATTCTGTTCGTATAAAGTCTGTTCTTTAATTTATGAACTCGCTTCACACTTGTTTCCAAAAGCAATAAATGGTTCAATTGACAAAATGTGTTAGACTATAAATAATTTGTAAATATAAATTGAGTTAAGTTCCAGTACTTTGTATTCACAAATAATCTAAATATTTCAATTACCATAATTTAATAAATTACTATATGATTTGATTCTTTTAAGCAATAAATGTTGCTTCTATAGCTACAAAATGTAATTATTAAAAAAGTGATTTTCAAAAAAAAAGTGACAAAATTCCTTTTATAAAAAAAAAGATTCATACACGCTTAATGTATTTTTAAAATGTTATGGTTAAAATAGTTTATTAATTTTATATATTATGTTTAAATTATAAATTTTTATTTTTACATTATATAATATGATTATAATTTATTTTATTATGATAAAGGATTCAATAACTTTAGCTGTTAGCTATAATTATTATTATACATTATAAATTATAGATATTGTTTACAGGAATTCCTCCTGATCAACAAAGGCTTATATTTGCTGGTAAACAACTTGAAGATGGACGTACTTTGTCTGATTATAACATCCAAAAAGAGTCTACACTTCATTTAGTTCTTCGTTTAAGAGGTGGTGCTAAGAAGCGAAAGAAGAAGAATTATTCTACCCCTAAAAAAATTAAGCATAAAAAGAAGAAGGTTAAGTTAGGAATTTTGAAGTTTTATAAGGTTGGTAAAAAAATTTAAGAAGTCTTACTTAATGTTTATCAAAATTATCTTGAAATGTTTTTAATTTAGGTTGATGAAAATGGTAAAGTTCACAGATTAAGAAAAGAATGTACATCAGAAAACTGTGGTCCTGGAGTATTTATGGCTGAGATGCCAAATAGATTTTACTGTGGCAAATGTAGTGCTACTGTTGCTAAATAAATCATAGTTATTGTTTTAACATAATAAAGTTTTGAGGCAGAACTATTCAAATTATTTATTATGTAGATTTGAATTTTCTTTAGTCAATCAAAGATTAACTAAGTATTCACTTACTATAAATAATATCTCATTGATATTTAATAAAAATGTCCCTTATCTTTTTCCTGTTCTTAAAAGGTGTTAGCTATAATTATGATGCTCCAGAAAATTATTAATCTAAGATTCACTTAGTTTATTTTGCTCATTAATTATTTGATTGAGGTTATTTTTAACTAAACTGCAAGTTTCTGAAAAATTTCTTGGTTACTGAGTTTATCTAATAGTGATGCTTAATAGTCTCGAAAAATGATTAAGATTTACTATTTATAACACGTGGCTCATTGACTTAAAAAAAAAATACCTTATCATTAAAGTCGTGGAAATTTGGAAGTTGTGAAAATAAGATACATTTTAATTACATTAATAGTTTTCATTTATTCTTGCTCATAAAACTAAACAGCAACTACAGGTTAAAACTTTATCTGATAAATAAAATTATTGAGCCAAAAAAAATTCTTATCAAATTATGATGTTTTATTCTATAAAAGTTTAAATTTTATTAGATTATTCTATTATTAAATTATATTTTTATAAAGAAGAAAAATTATTTTCATTTATGATAAAGTAATAAAAAAAGTATAAACAGTACTTATAATCTTTTTTTTATTATTATTTAAAAGTAAAACACTGAAACTTCATTCATTTAATATAATCAGTATAAAGAAGGGATTAGCAAGTAAGGAAACCGGTTACTATTATTCTCATTTATTTATCTCTTTACTTACTGAACATTCTGTATAATGATAGTCTTGTAACAAAAAGAAACTTATTTCTTCATAATAAAAAGTAATTTATAAATATTTGATTATTGTTATGAAATATAGCTATTATCTAAATAATTTTTATACTAATATTTTTTATAATAATAGATTTTTACAGCAATGGTAACTTAACGGTATTCTCAAAAATAAAAAAAAAAGGTGAAAATATTTAAAATTAAAATTTCATTATTGAATGTAATATTTTTTCGATATCGATACATCGCAAATAATTTTTTTTTCAATATTGAGATATAATATCGCTGTATTTCAGTACGACATTGATATCCAAAAATACATGATCGACGAACCCTATAAATTAATAAAAGTACACTGTAGAATAGAATAATAACGATCTGTTAATTTAGTTTAAATTTGAGCTAAGTTATAGTAAAAAATGACTCGTATAATATAGGAGTAAGTAATACAGTAGAATGGAGAATTACTACAAACCAATCTCAGGATTGAATACAGAATAGGAAAAGCATGACAAATAATAGAAGAGCAAAAATACATCATTTGTTTAGAAGACTAGGTCAGCCAGGCCTTTTCTAGATTGTGGTGAGGGTGGATTTCAAAATATAAATATTAAACAATATATAATATAAGCATAAGTTACCCTAGATAGGATTTTCAGTTTTTTCCTAAGCAATTTGAATTATGAAACCCATACACAATATTTAATTAAAGAATAGGATATATCCCCAGGTGAAAACATATTAATTCAAGAAAAGTAAAATAAAAATAGTTAAAGGAACAACTTTAACAACTTAAATATTTTTATTTATTCAAAATTTAAAATAATTACATATATTTTATAAATGTACACACAGCAAGTGATAATTAAGTCAATTTTGTTAAGTACAAACAATTTTAAATCATTGAAAAGTATAATAATTTGACTAGATTACGTAATAAGTCAATATCTTAGTGCTTTGATACTATTAATTTGTTGTATCTAGAACATTTTGATTTTCTTTCAAGAATACAAATAAAAAAAATTATTTTAATATCTGATAAATAATCTGTGGTTATAATCCTTTTTTACATTATAGTATATAAAATTGTTATAATTAAGTACTAATTTCATAAAAAAGTAATTAAAATGTTACTTTAAATTTCATAGTAAATACTATCAACTTATAACTTGAAATTTTGTGCTCTACTTTTAAAAAATTCAGTCTTCAGATTTTACAGTCATTAAAGACTGAATTGTATTGACCAAGTGTGTGAAGTCTGGACGATCAGATGCCACATATGACCAACATGGATACATGAGTTTGTTATAAATATCCATTGTGCAGGGGGGGTATGATGGACATTGAAGTCTATGGCCTTCTTCCAGAACACAGATCATTTTTTCAACATCTAATCGTTCTTCTAACTTTGATACAATATTTGGTTCTTTTCCCAATGTGAATATCTCAAAGAGTAAAACACCAAAAGCCCAAATATCAGTTTTAGTTGAAAATTTCCCATAGAGTATAGCTTCTGGAGCATGCCTAAAATTGGTAAATCATTTCTGATTAACTGTTAAAAGATGAATCAATAACACATACCATTTAAGAGGTAAATCTCTCATAGTTTGTAAATAATAATATTTCTCATCTGGTAAAAATTGTGCCAATCCAAAGTCAGAAATTTTTACAGTTGTTGGACTAGCAACAAGTATATTTCTAGTAGCTAAATCACGATGAACTATGTTAAGTTTTCCCAAATATTCCATTCCCTAGAAATTTTATTTAATATTTTTAGAATTTAAATATTATGAGGTTTCTTTAAACATTGAAACAGAATATAAAATTAAAATTAGTTTATTGTAATAAAAATAATTTATTTTGATTTAAAAACTAATTTGACAAGTTTATTATTAAAATAAAAAATAAAGTTTTATACTTGAGCAACATCAAGGGAATATTTTAGTAGTTGATTGGTATTATTGAGTAAATCATCTTTGTGTAATCGTAAATAATTGTTTAAAGATCCAAACTCAACATATTCCATAATAAGCATTAAATTAGGTTCTTCTAATACTCCTTCAATTCTGACTATATTTTTGTGATCAAGTTGCTAAAAATGTTGATAAAATAATTTTAAATTAAATTAAGTACATTATGAAGGAAGTCTGAAGTATTAGGAAAACACACAAATAACAATAATAAATAAAAATATATCATAATAAAATAAATACCATCTCAGCTTTGTATCAAAGTTATAATACCGATGAAGTTTATTATTATGATTAATTAAAGTAATTATACTTCAAATATAACTGACTGCATATACAATTTAAGAATTTTTACAAGGGCATTTTTTAAATTTTTATGTTAGTAAAAAAAAAATGTTCATAATAGAGACTCAAATGAAATATATGATATAGGAAGTAGAGCGCACTATTTTTTATAATAAAAGTTGAACAATTTATAAGTATATTCATTTGGAATTTTTTTAATTAAACAAAGTTAAACAAGAGATTAAAAAAGGTATAACTATAAAAAGCTTACTACATGCATAAAAAATATAGTTAAATATTTTATATGATCTCTTACCTGAATAATTGTTATTTCTCTTTGAAAATCTTCAATTTGGAAAGACCTTTTCATATGTTTCACAGCAACTTTTCTTTTTAAATTATTATTGTATTCTAACAAACCTTCTAGAACAACACCATAAAAACCCTAAAAAATTACATGATTATCTGAATAAAATTTATTTATTTATTACTAATAAATTACAATCTACCAAAAATCACACACACACAAAAAAAAATTATCAATTATTCATACTATTTATTAAAATTTCACCTGTACATAGGATAGTAAAAAAATTAAGTATAAGAGTTTGTTAAAGTAAAAAGGTTGAAAAACATTGTATTATTAAACAATCATTACAGTTAATTTACCTGTCCTATAACTTGATGTAAACTTAGTGTATTATTTTTAAATTTGTATGTTTTTTCTCGACAATTAAGAGCATTTTGCATATTACATTTTATTTCTTCTTGAGAGGTAAGCTAAATTACAAAATCAAACTTTGTTATTGTATAAATTATCTTAATTATCTGTCATTAAAACTAAATAATTTTACCTGATTCATAAACTGATTGAAGCTGGTGCTAGCACCAAGAATAGGGTTTTCATTTTGATAGCTCTTAGTGTCATCCTAAAAAGAATATTAAAAATGAAGTATAATGCATTTGTGTTATGTAATAAACATTTCTTTTATTTACAGGATTTGAATTGAAATCTATAAAATCTGATTTGGTTTCACTTCCAGAAAAAGAGCTTGATACAGTGTCCATATAAGTTTCATCTTAGAAAAAAGAAAAATAAATTATTAAAAACAATAATCAAATACCCACATTTTTTTATTAACCAATCAATAAAATACAAATTAGTTTTATTTTATAGGCTACCACCTATTTTGCTTAATTATTAAAATATACTATTAGAATACAGTGTTTTTACTTAATATTATTATAAAATTAAAAATTATAAAATATTTCTTTAATAATAAACATTGTTATAAAAATAAAAACCTTTTTTAAATAATATTCTGCAAAATTATTACCAGATATTTGGTTTAATAATTAAATATACATGTCTAATGGTTTAGATTATTGAATAATTATATTTAAATCTGCAATTTTTTAGGTTTTCACTTTTATACTCACTTTTATGTCAAATGGATTACTTTTAACTGTCAAATCTCAAAAATATTTACTAGTTTTTAAGTCTAACTAAAAGTATGTCTATTTTATTATTAGCCTACTTTTTTTTAAAGTAATCTATTATTATTATCTACTATATTATTAATGTTGAAATTAAAATTAAAATTTGGCGTAATCATTTTTTTTACTGTTAAGGTTGCTATGTGAATCATCGTTGTATCATATTTAATGTCTTATATTATGTTTGTTGTCTATTTTATTTTTACTGAATTAAATTGTTAGAATACTTTTGCTTAAACAGTAGTTAAATATTATTTTTAACTTCTTCATTTCAACAATTAAATTTCTAATTTAGAATGGTCTAAATTAACATAATACAAAAAATAAAATAAATAAATAAATAAATGAGTAAAAATAAACATAATCAGTTATAACGTATTTTATGACTGGAACATGTTTTTTACTGTATGTAGTGGTTTTTTAAGTATTTATTAAAAAAAACAATATTAACATTATTATTTTTTAATCTATTGTAAAATTTCTTATATGTGAGTTTTACTTTTATAATTCCAATTAAAAAAAAAAAAAAAAAGTTATGAGACATAGATCAGTTATTTCTATTAAAATTCATCACCTCAACTTAAGAGGTCTGAGGTATAGGTTAACGTTAATGGATCAGTTCTAAATTTAATACAGCTCATTTTGATGAGCATTAAAATAAAAATAAGGAGCAGTGTAAAAAAAAATTCAAAATTTAAGGGCTACCCTACTGTATATATATATATAGCTTACTAGTATAATCAGATGTACAATAGATTGTTGCATCAGAGCATGTCACATCATCTTGAAATATTTCTTCTTTTTTGATTGGTGTATATTCATGTTGAGGACTAGAATAAACTAGTGAGTAGAAAATACATGTTAAATGTAGAATTCAAACACAAAGTGTAGCTTTAATCAATTTCATTACTTTGTAACCAAATTTGCCTTAAATCTCTTAGTGTAGCCTGTGGTTTTTTACGAATAAAAGGATCACTATCCCAGCATTCACACATTATGTGATATAAGTCATCAGAACAACAATCAGGTTTTGGCATTCTAATATTTTTTTCAAATTTCTGAAAAAGTTTAAAAAAAAATCAAAAAGTCAGAGTAGATTTTAAAAAAATATTAAATAAAATAATTTAAAACATTATTTTTACTATTATGGATAACAAACAAAAATAACTCACTACTAATACTATTTTAATGTTTTTGTTTTATTAAAAAAAAAAAAAAATGTTGAGTTTGTGAAGAAGTAATGATTGTTAAAATATAATATCTAAATTAAAATTTTTTTTTACTTTTTTAAAAAATTCAACATTTTGCACTTCTGGTAATACAACACCATAATTGAACAACTCCCATAAAGTTGAGCTCAATGCCCATATATCAGCTTGAGGTGATTTTCTAGCAAGTTCGACTGAGTTATAAAACTCAACAGGTATCCAATACAAACTATTGTAAAAATATTGGAAATGAATATTATATTATAGATTTTAGGACCAATGAATATTTAAGCTAAATCAGATATATAAGCTCTATAGAAGTAAAAAAAAAAAAATAAGTATTGCTAATTTATGGAATAATTTTCTGCAATAAGTATAATTAAAATATGAAATAATGAGTAAATTATTATGTTATACAAAACATGATTTAAATTTTTTTTAGTAAACGGAGGGTTAGGTATGCTTCCAAAGTAAAAAGTATTTCTAAGATGATCTTTTTTTATTGCTCATCAATGTAGGTGGATGATAAATTTTTACTCTTCTGCTAAGAAATCAGATGCCTAGTTATATAAAAATATTTTAAGGAAGGAGAAAATTAAATCAAATTTTCTTCAGTGCTGGGACTATACTTAGTGAGATTCTAGGCAAATTATAAACGCAAGACCCCAAAACCAAAAGAAAGTTTAGCGCCTCAGGTATATGCCTTATTAGTAGGTCTATCCTGAAAGGGGTGTGAGAGGTTACACCCTTTCATTAATTATATTTAACAGTTTTAACTTGAAAAAAAAAACTTAAAAAAGGTCATACAATTATTACAAAACTATTCATTAAGCAAAAATAGTTTCTTCACCTAGTCAAAGTCTTTTCTTTGGGACAGCATGACCTATAGGACAGTTATAATCCCAATCTTGAGTATCCCAAAATAATTAATCACCCTATAAAATTAAATTATAAAAAATAATAATTAATAAATCGGCTTATCCTGAATGGGGTCCTCTTCAGAAGAAGGAAAAATCATGAATACATCAATAAAGGATCTAAAGAATTTAATTAAAAAAACATACTTTTTTTAATTAAAAGTGAAAAGTCTTAAAGACATGAACATATTATAAAAATTTATAAAACTTAACATATCATTCATTGGATGATTGTTGCAAAAAAAGGCCTCCTTTATTTTGCAAAGGTGTGCTAAAGCACATCTAGCACACTCTGAACACACCTCTATAATGTCGACTCAAACTAATACATTTGAAGGATATAAAATGTTTTTTGTCATGAGATTAATATTTTGTCAAAAATTAATTGTAATGTTTTAACAATATATCTGATACCAAATGCATTTATTGGTTACAAAAACAAACTTGGTAATCTTATTTTTTTAATTAAGTAAGAATAAATAAACTGGTTATTTTATAAGGTAATATTGATAGTAAGGTGCAGGCTACATATATTAAATAATCAAGGGTGCCAATGTTATAAATAAAGTAATAATTTTAGGCCTCCTAACAATATACAGACTTAATTTTTAAAGTCTATGATCTTAAACAAGTGAAAATAATTAATTATTTTACTATATTAGTATAATAAACTTACTCATAACTAGTGTAACATTTATGTATACCAGGGTCTGTAAGTTTAACAATCAAAGCATTTCTTGAATGTTCAGCTACTACAAATTTATGACAACGAATTTTGCCATGAATTAAAGAAGCTATTTCCTAATAAGCAAATAAATAGTATAATTTTAAGTAATTCTATTATAAAAATGAAATTATACCATATCCCAAAGAGCTGTAGCCATGTAAGTTGCTGCTTCAACTAGATTACTGAATGATATTTTTTCTTTATTTGTTCTCAAATAAGCATCGAGAGGTCCTAATGGAAAATACTCGCTCACTAGTGCAGTTGGAGTGTCAACACAGAGGCCAAATAAACGTACTATAGCACTTGAAGACACAGAACTCCAACGTTTCGATAAGCTCAACAAATTCTTTATTGCAATTTAAAAACATAAAACAAATAACTAGTGTAATTAATATAAGATGTTTATAATTTAGCATGACCACCAAGATTATCTACAAATATAGAAGAAAAATTTTTTAACAATATACAGTGTTATTTACCATTAGGTGCATACTAATATTAACATCATCTTGAAATAATTTAACAACAACAGTTGATTCATTCCTTTTTGATTTTGTCCAAGTTGCTAAACGTACTTTCATTAATGAGTTAATTTTCTTTTTAGATGTACAAATTGCTTAAGTAAAAATAAAAAAATGAATTTTAATTTGTGAATTCAAAATTAAAACATACTATTCAAGAGTTTTATTGAATCACTGTTTATCAAGTGGGGACCAAAGATTTTTTCTTCTTCATCCTCAGGATCTAATTGCTTAATACTTAAATTTTGACATAGTAATAATTCATTCATAGCTGAAATAAATCAATAATGAAAAATATAATAATAATTTAAGATTAATGTAGTTTTTTCTATATTTTATTATATTTCAGAGTTTGTAATTTTTACATGAATTAAAAAACTGAAAATAGAAATATTTTTTAAACTCAAAAAATGTTTTATTTTTTATTTATCACTGTTATGTTAATGAAATAAGATAATAACTTTAAATTTCATACATACCATTATCTGAAGGAAAAATACACTCCATCAAATTTAAAGAAATTTTGTTGTTAGTAATCAATTTCCATATAGTTGGATATTCAATGTCATTTTCTCCTGATAGTTTAAAAATACCTCCTTTATTTTCAATCACATAAGTCATAGGTTTTCCACTATAATATATAAATATATATCATTACTAAATTAAAAACCAGTTTATAATATCTGAATATATTAAGATGTCAACAAAAAAGGTTTTTTTTGAAAATTTAATTTAAAGATAAACACATATTAAGACAATATAAACAATTTAACCTACAAATTTTATATTGTATATAAAAAACTTTAACACTTTTGTAACAGTAAATTCTTAGCTGGTGGTAAATATGCCTCGAGGAACGTTTCCATTGTACTGGGCTATATAAGTTTTTCTCTTTTCACTGGCACAGGGAATTGCTTTTAGTTAAAGCAATGTTAAATATAATTAAAAATTTTAAAGTTCAATATACACATGATAAACAATATAGTACAATACATATCTATACAAATTTAAATAATCATACCTTTAAATAGATAATTCCCAAAATTAAATGTTTTATTAACAACTATTACTATTTCTGATTAATGAAAAGCCATAAATAATAACTGTTTCCTACTAGTATGAGATGACAAAAGACCTCATTTTGTACTGTATTTAGTTAAAACTTTAAAAAGCTATAATTTATTAACCTTTTACTATTACTTAAAAAGTTATATGTATTCTTAATTTACACTAAAAAATAATTTAAAGAAAGGTAGCCAGTAAAGTAGACTTATAACTTCAATTGGAGCTAGAAACAGAAATTAATTCAGTTTTTTTTAAATTCTTTATAATATCTAGTAAATTAGTTAATCTATATCAAATTTTTTTCAAGAATTTGTAATGTTAATGATTGTAGAAATCGAAAGTAAATATAATTTTATTTGCTGATGATGCTAAGATTTTCTCAAAAATTAGATCTCTAGACGATACATTAAAATTACAATCGAACTTAGATAATTTTGCAAATTGGAGCCATCACAATCGCCTACCTTTAAATATAAGTAATGTTATTACTTTTTCTAGAATAGATAATGAAATCAAGTGTAATTATAAAATAGATAACTGCATTATAACGCGTGTCAATTCTGTTAGAGACCTAGGAATTGTTATTGAAAGTAAAATGTCTTTTTCAATACATATTAATACCATTATTAAAAAAGCCTTTAAAATGTTATTGTTTTTAAATAGAAATACGAATAATCTTAAAAACTTTAATACATTCAAAATATTATTCTTTTCTCTAGTTAGACCTCACCTTGAGTTTGGTTCTATAGTCTGGTCTCCAAGTTATTCGTCATATAAAACGGAAATTGAAAATGTTCAGTATAAATTTTAAAAATTTTTGTGTTATAAATTGAATAAACCTATAATAACCAATTTGCATAACTCGGTTTTTGGATTTACTAGTTGTGAACAAAGAAGAAATGTAGCGGATATTATGTTCATATTTGAGCTTAAATGCATTTTACCACCCCATCGAGATTTTTCACATTTTTTTTTTTTAAATCAATTTAGTTTTTCATACTGACTAAGAATATATAAAAATTTTTTGTTGGCGAAGTCTAGTTTAAAAGTTATGAGCTTTCAAAGATTTCAATAATCATATACAAATTTTGTTATATACTGCTGTTTTTTTTTGATAATTTTCATTAATTAACTATAAAAAGTATTCTCGATGATGTAGTTACCGAGGAATAGTAAATTTAAGAGTATTTATGAGTACATTAAACGTGTTAAGGTAGTGTTGAAGTAAATAAATTTAATTTTTTTTGATCTATTTTTTCAATATTATATCACCATTTTAACATCAAGGTTTTATACTTGTTGGGTCACTGAGAATTTCAGTAGAATGGGTTTAAATAGGTTGGGTTTGGGCTTGACTTCTATCCTCTGGGGGTTTGGGGGCGTGAGCCCCCATCCCATGAGAGTCCCGAAGGGGCTCGAATCGGTCACCGGAGCCGGCAGGCGTAGGTGACCACAACTTATATTTAAATGGGTTTGTATAACTCAACATTATAACATTAAG